GCACTATTTACAATAGCAAAAAGATGGAGACAACCAATGTGCCCATCAATTGAAGAATGGATAAACAAGCTGTGGTACATACACACAATGGAGTATTATGCTACCTTGAAAAATAACAAGGAAGCTACATGCCACTACATAACATGGATGAACCTTAAACACATTATGTTGAGTGAAATCAGTCAGTCACAAAAGGAAAAATACTACATAGGACCACTACTATAAAAGACTAAGAAAAAGAACCCATACTAATCCACTAAAAAGGATTCTTAGCTGGTTGCTGGGACGCAGGGGCAGGCGCAGGAGGGGAAGATGGAGCACAGGGCAGGGAATAGACCCAGCATAGTTTGGGTGTTGGGGAGGCGGGCAATATACAAGTAGGGAGAGTGGAATGGAAGAACAAAGCAGATGGGAGAACAATTAAACAGGTATGACTGGGTTAAATGGGAAAGAGGTAAAAAAAAGAGGGTTCTGGGATACAGAGATTGAGGCAGGGTTGGAATGGGGAAAAGAGGGAAATAATGTTAAGATGCTTGGCTGTCTTTTGAACCTTGGTTTTCCGTGCATTATATTATAAAACAGACACTGGAGGGGGAGAGAAAGGAATAGCCAGAAATATCACCCATAGAAAGCTTGTAAGTCCGTCTTCTGCCTATAACTGATTGGAATACCTAAAATGGGGCTACAATGTGTCCAGTGAAGGAAGTTTCCTGAGGAGCCTCTGCATTACATAAGACTATAGGTAGAAGCCTAATCCACATACAGATCTTCAGAGACGGGAAATTTTCATCTTGAAAGGACAAACAGACCAGCCTGGGGCAGCTAGAAAACCAAAAGATACTTCTTAAAAGAAAGACCTACAGGAAAAATACAAAACGATAAGGGCAATCCAACTGTTACTACAAGAACAAGCAAGTTACTTGCCCAGGAGACTTCAAGGCAAGTGGTCAGGTCCCTTCAGTGCAAATCCTCTTCCAAGACTAAGATGAAATGGGAATACACACTCTGATTGGTGACCACGCACGTCACCCATAAGGGGAATTGAAGGAAGAACATCAATGAAGCAGCGAGCTAAGCCCTACATTGTTCAGCAGACTCCTGAGAACCCAGGTGGAGACGTGGTCTGCCAGCAGTGTGGCAAGACCTGGGGACTCATGGGCTCAGAGTCAATGACACAGCCACAGAGGACTAGAGTGGAGAGCGAAGCATCCAGGTGATAAGAAGATGGCAGACAGATGCAAGAACACCCACACTTGCAGATAATACCCACTTGACATGTCTTCAATGACAGGATGAACAGAACTCAACCCGAAGAACAAAGAAGAAGGAAAAAAAAAGCATCATCTGATACAATTTGATAAACTTGACCTACACCTATAAATGCAGTAGCTCAAATGAGGAAACAAATCCTTGCTGCAAGAATTATTCCCACCCCCTCCACACAAAGAGTAGACAGGGATGGGCAACTTGGACATTGGATACCCCAAATGGGGGGAGAGATACAAAAGTAAGAAGTGACTGGCTTACAAGCTTTCAAGAGGGAACCTAGATCCAAAGGGCGTGGAGGAAGGTAGAGTCTCCAGTGAATAGTATCCAGCCTGTCCAGGAAGGGCTGATGAAATGAAATGCAGATGGGTCTCTTGTAATGCAATAGTGAATAACTGTTATCAGGACTGATTGTGAGGGATGGAAATGTAAAGGTGGACATTTTATAGCATGGAGGGGAGTGATTAACTTTTCAGTCTAGGAGCGGAGGTTCCTAGGACCATCAATGAAGAAGAATGGAGAGTGAGACCGTACTCAGAGAAGCAGTGATGCCCAAGATGGAGGCAGAGAAGATGACGTGAAGAGATGGAGTGACTGGGGACTTGAGATCCAGAGAGGGAAAGGGGCTGTTTGCTGAAGACCATGGAGGTGTGGGTGGCAGGCTTGTAAGGTATACCCTTTGGTTGGATGATGATGCATGGACGGGATGGTAACTATGGCAATTAAACAATGTAAAATAGAATGAATGTAAAACTAATAAATAAAAAAGAATAAAATAAAAGGACTTTTGCTCTGGCTTCTGGAGATATGCTTTGTTTATGATTTCAAGGTTAAAGATGATCTTAAGTAGTTTGGGAATTTATCCAGCCTCGGTTGCTTCAGACAGTCTAGAGTCTATAAAGAATTTAAATTCTGTTCCACATTTTCCCCCTTTGGGTCACGATTCTTCTTTAGAATCCTTGATCCATAATGGTAACTGGATACCATTCAGTTCTTCTGGTCTCATGACAAAGAAGTCACTTCCTCTTTCTCTTTCTGATTCTCTTCTCTCGTTTGCTCCAGGTGAATAGTGACCAAATTGTTGTACCTTGGCCACTTATACAAGCTGTTAAGATCCCAGATACTACGCAACTAACTAGCAATTACCTTAACTTTTGTGAGATTCGGGGATCCTAATCTGCCTGTTGGAAATCATACTACCTTCCTTGCAAGCATGTTCAGAAGACATGCCTAGCAGATAGTCAAGTCCACAGTAGGCCTTTAATCTAGAGTAGCTCCCTGTTCCCAGTTCTTTACACTCTGGAGCTTCCTCCTGTCTTCTAAGACAGTTTGTACCTTTGAAAGGAGCTGTTTCTAAATTCATAAATGCTACGATTTCTAACTTTGGTGGAGCTGGGGTGTGGCATATACCATCCTCCTGTTGAGATCCTGGTCTATGAGTTCACCACTCAGAAGGAAATACTTAGGTTACAAATGGTAACACACAATATCCTCTACACCATGGTAAGATGGTACCTGGAGGTAGTATCTCCTATTCAGTCTCCACAAAGCAAGTAACGGTGCTGTTGTTTCTTTCAGGAGGAGAAGTTACCAAGCCCCGGTTTGCTCAATTCTTCCATGGCAGCCTGGCCAGTCTCACCATCCGGCCTGGCAAAATGGAGAGTCAGAAGGTGATTTCCTGCTTGCAGGCTTGCAAGGAAGGGCTGGATATTAATTCTTTGGAAAGTCTCGGCCAAGGAATAAAGGTAAGGGAAGAGCTGGCCTCATCCCTGATAAGATAAAATGTGATTTATGAGGCTAAGGCGGAGGCTGCCCAACACCAGTGTGCTCCAGAAAATAGACACATTTCCTGTAAAGTTGCACAGAAATGGTGCCAAGGCAAACATGCTGCCTTGGGCAGTGGGACAGGGGTATGGTGGGGGTAGAGGGAATGGATATGCAGTGGCCCACAATTCCAAGATGGACTTCTGCTGCCATCTCCTGAAATTCCTAGATAAGCCCTGTATGTAATCAGTTCACCACACAAAAGGAGGCCCAGATTTGATGTTGACCTGGAGGGAGTTTTCATACTTGATTTCTTGTGGGTTGGTTAGTTGCTTTATTGTTTATTTTCCTAAAGAAGCTGAGGCAGCACACAAGAAATGCATTCCAACAATAAAATAAAAAATTAAAAGTTAGGACCATGTAAAATACAAATTTAAAGGGAAGGTCAAAACTGGGTTGGAGTAGAATGAGAAAGAAGATTTGGAGGACACTGGGTCTTACATTGTGAAATTGAGGCACAGGTTGGTTTCTGAGTAACTTCTGGTAGTCACAAGGAGTGGGAAGTGATTCATGATTCATTCAGTGTAAAGATAAAAGCACTCAAGTTACCCAAGAGAATGAATGCTGTCTTCTAAGAAGTTTCTCCTTAGGTGCCTGATGAAAGATCTGCTCAACTATGTCCTGAGCAGGCACCTTCCTGGCCAGCAGGCTGAGCTGCTGGCCTCACTTGAACCTACAGAGACAGCACCAGGGAGCAGGAGAGCTCTGCTGCCCTGAGTTCAATACAGAGTCAAGGAGTCTCTGGGTGGCACAAATGGTTAAGCACTCAACTCCTAGCCAAAAAGTTGGCAGTTCAAACTCACCCAGTGATGCCTCAGAGAACAGTCCTTGACGACATACTTTTGGAAGGTCACAGCCTTGAAAACCCTGTGAAGCAGTTCTGATCTGTACACACAGAGTTGTCATGAGTCAGAATCAACTCAAAAGCCACTAGGAGCAAGATGTACAGAACACAGGGTACAATCATCCATGATGACTGAACCCCACTCAGTTATAACGGATCAAGTGGGAGAAGTCAGCCACTCAGTCTTGACTCTGGAAGTCGGGGTGGTCCATAATCTCTGTCCCCCAGAGCAGCACAGGATAGCCCCATAGAGGCCCCTCTATGGCTTTCCCTTCTTGGTGATTTCCCACAAATGATGTGGTCAGAGCAGAGTTGTCACTGCGCATTTTTCATCCCCACCCTGTGTTGTATGCTAACACATGGTCCTTTCTTCTCGGACTGCCACCTGTTTGTCCTGGACAGGAGATCCCACCCCTCCATCAGAAAGCCCCCTAATTATCCTTTCACTAGGACATATTGGTCTGAGCACATTGTAATTTTCAGTTGCAATCACTTCAACAAATTGGAAATTTACATTTTTAGTCCTTGGCTGGGCTCTGGGATCCAAAGCGAATGTCACATGGTTATTGTCCCATGCAGTGGCTCAAGCAGACTTCTACAACATAATGTGATAATCACCAGGGATTATGTGCACTAGCACTTCCTGAGGACTCCCTAGTGCCAGGCTCTGTTCCCAGTGCTTTATGGCGTTCACTCATTTAACCCCACACCACAGCTCTCGGTTGAAGGTGCCAAGAGTATTCCTTTTTCACACATGAGGAATTGAGGACTGAATGGAAAAGCAACTTACCTGAGTTAGTAGCAAGCAGAACCAGAATGTAAGCAGATAAGAGACCTAGGGGTAAGGGTGGGGGGTGGGAAGAGGAAAGGGAGGTGTGGGTGAACAGGGCAGGTTCATTGCTGGAGATGAGGCCTGAGCAGAATGCTTGAGGATAGGTAGAAATTAGCCAGAAACAAGAAAAGGAGAGGGGGACTGGAGAGAGGCATCACATCAGGTGGATCTAAGGGTGTGAGCCAGGGCTGAGGGCAAACTGCAAGAGGAAAAGGGTAAAAAGAGTGGCCTATTTGTGAGTGAATCTATTTGTATGATTCACTCGCACCAATTCTGTTCAACTTGTACACCCCTTGTCAACTTGTTCACCCTTCCTTCTGAACTGTCCCTTCCTCACTCACAGAAACTCACTGCCCACACTAAGTACACTGGTGTTTTTTTATGGCTAATCACCTGGCACTGAAGGAAAAGTCATATGGCCATCTTATATTGGAAAAGATGCCAAAAAATCCATCCTCTAACCCTCCTATCTTACTTACTTCATGCTACCATTACAGAAATGCCACAAAAGACTGGTTTTAAAGAACAGAAACTTATTTCCTCACAACTCTAGAGACTGAAAGTGCAAATTAGGGTCTTAGCCATGTGAATTCCTTCTATGGGTCTCTCTCCTAGTCTTTGGTGACTGCCAGAAATCCTTGGCAATTCTTGGCAATCCTTGATGTTCTTTGGAAAGCTTCTTGGCATTCCATGAGATTCCTTAGTCTTCCCCCTGTAGGTGCCTGTCTTCATATGTATCTTTTTATAGCTCAGAAGTTAATAGGTTTAGAAGCCCACACACACACACACACACACACACACACACAGAGTAGTGTTTCTCTGCTATTCATAGGTTTCCAGTGACTAATATTTGGAAATAGTTCATCGCTCCTTCTTCCTAGCCTGTCTTTGTCTGGAAGCTCATCTGAAACCTGTCCACCATGGGTGACCCTGCTGGTATTTAAAATACCAGTGGCATAGCTTCCAGAATCACAGCAACTCACAAGTCACCACAGTACGACAAGATTGGGCAGTGTTTCATTCTGTTGTGCATAGGGTCGCTATGGGTCGATACTGACTAGATGGCACCTAACAACAACAACAAGTTAGGAGGGGGAGTCCTGGTGTGACACTGTGGGTTAATGTTCTGGACTGCAAAGTCAGTTTGAACCACAAGGTCAGCATTTCAAGCTCACCAGCTGCTTTTGGGAACTCTATACAGGGTCTCAGTGGGTCAGAAGTGACTTGATGGCACTTAACAGCAACACTTAGGAATGACCTAATTAGCATAACTAAGAAACTCATATTTCCAAACAGGATCACATCTACAGACATACACGATAATGTTTCTACACATATGTTGCAGGAACACTATCTATCCATAGTACCTCCCCTGTCTGTCTGATCCTGGGTTTACTTCTTGTCTCTGAGTAGATCTTTGCTCAGCACCATCCTGTGGAGCTACAGTTTCAGGGCCCCTGGCCCATAGAGAATAAATAATAGTAAATGAGCCAAAGATGCTGGACTTCAGTATCACAAAACCTAGAATCATAAATTGACAGCCACAGCAATCTCTGCACAGAAGTAGTTTGCTGTTGTTGTTAAGTACCGTAGAGTCGGTTCCAACTCATAGTGACCCTGTACAGGGTTTCCAAGGCTGTAAATCCTTATGGGAGCAGAAAGCCTCATCATTCTGCTGCAAAACAGCTGGTAGTTTTGAACTGCCGACCTTGAGGTTAGCAGCCCGTTTCGTAATAACTACACTACCAGAAGTAGTAGCCTATGAAAATAAGATGTGCTAAAATAAGTGGAAAACACACAAAAGACAGCTGGGGGATAGGGGACAGAGAGGCTAATCACAGTGCCACCTGCTCATTGTAAATAATTCCTTTCCATCCTTAGGGCGCAATGGTAGGAACTAGAGCACTTTGTAAGAAGTTAATGATGAGACTCAATTTATGGAGCACCCACTGGGTACAGTTTTACGTTCATTATCCCTACTCCTCACAACAAATTAAATATTATGACCCTATTTCAGAAATAAAGAGATTGGGGCTCAGAGACTTGCCCAAAGTAAGTCCATGCTCCTCCCTGCTCACCAGCAACTCAGATTAGAAGGCATTCATGAAAAGTTTTAAAACTTCCTTCCTTCCCACTCTCCATTGATGTATCACTTTCTCAGCAATGACTGCTGTTTTCTTAACCAGTTCCTAGCCTCCTCCCACCTCTCTGACTTTCCTGAAGTTGTGGGAAATTAGCTTCCCATCTGCTCACAGAACAGGCTTCTTTTTACTTGTTTGCCTCTGGGTCATGCTTATTTTGTGATTTTTTTCTTCAGTATGTCTGGTTGTGGAGGCTGCTGTTCTGCATCCATATAAGATACTATGGAGCAGTCACATTTGTGAAGCACACCCCAATCTGAGCATGATAATCTCTGCCAATTTGTCATCTCCACAGTGAGGATGAGCTTGAAAGAACAAGAGCTTTGGAACAAGATACTCCTGGGTTCAACTCACAGCACTGATATTTGGACACGATCCCTCCCTCCACCCCTTTGAGTTCTGCCTTCCTGGTCTATTAAAATGAACTTGATAGTACGTATATTGCAATCATGTTGTGAGAACCGACTAAGATCCTAAAGCTGCTAGCCACACAGTAGACTCTCAGCAGCTCACAACTCCCTCCCCTGATGAGCTGGCCTTGCACTTGCACTGTGCAGGCGCCTTTTGAAAGACAAGCCTAGGTGACAATTGGCACAATGGAGTCTATGAATTGGGAATTGTGTATCTGGCCAAGGCCAATAAGGCTGGCAGATGTCCAAGGAATGGTCTGGAGTGTCATGGCTAGTCTACCTTCAAGGAACAGGTCACCCGGCTTTGGGCAGGGACCTTACCTGCTAGGTGGCTGGAGACAATACCCAAGCCTCTAGGGGAGTTGACCATTCTACACAGACCATCCATCTAACACCCTTTTGGCTCAAAGAAAGAAACCACCTTGGATACAGAAAACAGCTTCCCAGGGAGAAGGAGCAGTCACATCTTTTGCTGTGGCCTCCAGCATGCCACCATCTCTTGCCACTGGTGTTGTCAGCACAACCATATCTCCCATGTGACCAAAGGCCTATTCACAGTCATGCTGCAAGACTTGAAATACTACACATTAACAATAGTCATTTATTATATAGAGGTTTCTTGCTTGCTTCTCTGATTTTGTTTCAATCCTGTGAGATCTATGCTGATGGCTAGGCCAGTACCAAGCTTAACACC